CCCATTGCTTCTTGTTCTACCTTCAGGTGCCTTGGAGAATAGCTTGACTCCCTCTTCTTTGTGGCAACCCCTGAGATATTGGAACACTGCTATCAGGTCTCCCCTAGTCCTTCTTTCTATTAAACTAGACATACCCAGTTCCTGCAACCGTCCTTCATATGTTCCACATGTTATATATCTTTCAGGTGATTCTAAGGTAGCAGTTTTATAGTTTGAGGCCTGAGGACAGGGCCTCCTTCTCTTTTCTTAATGGATGTAATCCACCCTGAGCGACAGGTGTGAAAAGCAGAATATAAAAAAAGACAGTAAAGAAAAGAGTCTGCAATGCCCTTGTTGCCTTGTTCACCAGGAAAAGGGTGGAAAGAAACAACAGAGGGACAGATGCTCTACCTTGCTTCTCTGCTCTCTTGCTCAGGGCTTCCTCCAGCTCAACTTTTTCACCGGCCAAAAAACATCTGCCAAAAAACAAAAGCCATTTAAGATATCAATATGATTTATCAGCAAAACATGCTACCTACTTTGATTTATTTTAAATGTGTCTCAATTATTAGTTTTGGCTTCTTGATCCACCGAGCAATTATTCACGGAAATGCAAGTTAATTTTATAAACAAATGGAACAAATACAAAGGGATACAGAGAAAGGAGTTGCCCCGAGGTAACATAAGAGGCTAATAAATTTTCTAACGGATTAAATAACACAGTTCATCGAGATGTTTTTGTAGCCTTTGACAGTTATAAAAGATAATGGCTATCAGCTCTCCCGAAATAAGGTTTAGGGCAGGGATGGCTAACCTTTTTGTTGTCGCGTGCCAAAAGCATGCCCACGGGAGCATGACAGAGCACCTGCACCCATAATGCAATGCCCCCGGATTGTGGGAAGGGCCCCACAATTGTGCTATCCCTCCACTCCCCCCATGCATGCGGCGCGACACCCCCCACTCCCCTTTTTGGTCCTAGTAGGCCTCCCTGCAGCCTCTTGGGATGAAAAACAGGGCATTGGGGGGGAGGAATCCACCTGTGCTCCCCCGACCCTCCCCCCACATGTGCGCGTCTTCTGCATGCGCAGCAGAGACCCGAAAATCAGCTGGTCTGCAGGAGGTGTGCGCACATGCCCAATGGAGCTGAGCTGGGGCGACGGCTTGCATGCCCAGAGAGGGCTCCGCCTGCCATAGGTTCTCCATCACGGGTTCAGGGTGTACAATGAAAGCAGTTGCTTTTTCTCTGGATTTTTCCAAGTACCCTATTTTTGAAGAATTGTCTTTAAACAGGAGCAATGTTGACTCCGTGGAGGCAGGCTTTGAAACAACACTGCAGGGCAACCCAACGTTGGCGGCTTCATCTTCATCGGCTGATTCTTTGTCTGTTTCTTTCTCGTCCTCAACATCCTTCTCCCCGAGCTCTTCATGCTCCTCCTCCATCTCTCCAAGACCATCTGGATCCTAACGGGACACACACAGACACACAACTCCATGAGTGAAGCAGAACCACAGGTACTCCTTGACTTACAATCAATAGTTCAGTGATTGTTCAAAGTTAACAACAGTGCTCAAAAAAGGATAACAGAATTGGAAGGGACCTTGGAGATCTCCTAGTCCAAATCCCTGCTCAGGAAGGAAACCCTAGACCCGTGATGGTGAACCTATGGCAAGCAGACCCCTCTCTGTGGGCATGTGCGCCATCACCAGCGGCTCTTCTGGTTTCTGGCGTGCATGTGCCGTCCAGCTGGTTTTCGCAGGCACCAGAGCGCCACAAAATGGCCAAAAAACCTGGCATGCATGTGCCATCCAGCTGGTCTTTGGGTTTCCGGTGCCCCAGTGTGGGTGAAGATCAGCTGGCTGGTGCGCATATGTGCACAAGCCAGCTGGTTTTTGGGTTTCCAGCACTCGGGCGCGCACACATGCACGGGCGTTCCAGTTTGGGCCCTCGGTGCCAAAAAGGTTCACCATCCCTACCCTATACAAGACAAATGGCTTAGGTCCATAAATGGCTTATGATCCCTTTTTTGACATTATGACTGTTGCAGGATCCCCCTGGTCACATGATCAAGATTCAGACGCTTGGCAAGTAGAACCTATTTATGACGGTTGCGGTGTCTCAGGGGGTCACATAATAACACCTTTTGCAACTTTCTCACAAGCAAAGTCAATGGGGGAGCCAGATTCACTTAAAAACCGTGTGACTAACAGCTGCAGTGATTCACTTAGCACCACGGTGGCAAGGAAATTTGCAATATGGGGCACAACTCGCTTAACCACGGTTCCCTTTAGCAACAGAAATGGTGGTGGTGAAGTCAAAGACGACTTATATTTCCAGAAAGGGATAGGTAAAAAAAAAAAAAATCATGACAGCCTTGCTAGTAAGCTCATAAGGTGAACAGATGTTGTGCCTATAAATCTGTCTCAAACACCCCAGAAGTCTTTTTTGCTAGAATTTATTGTAATGATGGAACAATGAAAAATAGATAACCTTGTATTCCTCCCCACCCCGCTCAAGGCTGTTTTGTTCGGTTCCACCACAAAACCGCGGTCGTCTAAAGCGCGCTCGACAAAACCGTGTACCTGACGTCATCACAGCGCGACGAAAAAAGCACGCTGTGAGAGGTAAAGGTAAAATTAACGTGTAAACCTAAACCTAACCCTAAACCTAACCCTAACCCTTAACCTAACCCTAAACCTAACGCTAAACCTAACGCTAACCCTTAACCTAACCCTAACCCTAACCCTTACGTGAATCGGCTTGCTTTAAAAGTGCTTTTTAAAGCGCCCCTTTTTCTCCGCGGTGTTTTTTGTCGCGCTGCTGATGACGTCAGCGACACGCTTTAATCGGGCGCACTTTAGTGGACCGCGGTTTTGTCGTGCCACGGTTTTGTTCTATTCCAGTGGTGTCCAAACTTGGGAACTTCAAGACTTGTGGACTTCAATTTCCAGAATTCCCCAGCCAGCCATGGTCCAGCCAAGTCCACAAGTCTTACAGTTCCCAAGTTTAGACACTCCTATTCTATTCTTTCTCCGTATGTTATCCAATTAAAACCCAGTGCAATTTACCTCAGACTGTTTCTTTCTGAAAGTGTTGGCTTGCAGAATTCTGAGCCAGGCTGACCCAGAAGGCACAGCTGGAGAAGGCCACTATAGCATTTAAAACCACCATCAGAGGCAAACTCCAGCAGAACTCAAGATGCACCTTATGTCTCAGCTGGATCTTGACTACTTCAGGAGAACATCAACTTGCATAGTCTAAAACCCTGCCTTCACTAGGTAAAGGTTTCCCTCATGCATATGTGCTAGTTGTTCTCGAATCTAGGGTGGGGGGGTGCACACCTTCGTTACAAAGCCAAAGAGCCAGCACTGTCTGAAGACATCTCCGTGGTCATTGGCCGGCATGACTCAATGCCGAAGGCACACAGAACGCTGTTACCTTCCCACCAAAGGTGGTTCCTATTTTTTGTACTTGCATTTTTGCATGCTTTCAGACTGCTAGGTTGGCAGAAGCTGGGACAAGTAATGGGAGCTCACTCCGTTACGCAGCCCTTACTACAGGAGGTATTTTTATGCTCCTGCTAAAGGACCCCAAACAACGTACAAGATCCAATAAAAACAACACAGTGTAACACAATCAATCAACAGGAAAACCACCTCCCTTAAAATAAAATAATGCGGTTATAGAAATTACTACGCTAACGCAGTTAAGGAATTACAACATGTTAGGGAATTTATTTAGTATGGTTCTGAAGTAGGGGTTACTCTATAAATACTTATGTGAACAAATGTGTCTCAGCTGACATCAGAAGCCAGATGACACGAAGGCAACTTTAATTTGGGATTATTCTTTATAGTATTTATGCTGCATTGGGATTATTCTTTATACTATTTATGTTGTTTGTATTTGTTGTCATGAATTGCACCAGTGGGCTAAAACCCATTTCATTGTAGTTATTTTGTACAATGACAATAAAAGCTATACTAAAAAAAAAAAATCACTGGGCAAGAGTCACAGGGTCACCACTGAGAAAGTCTTGCTCACAACTACTACACCACACGCCAGATACACCAGCAGTCGGCTTTGTTTCTGGACTCATTTTGCAGAAATTTGCAACAGGAAACCTTCTTCTGATATTTATTCTACTGGTGGCAATTGCAGAATTGGCCTCTCCTTATGCAAAAGTATGAATAACAACAGTAATCATAGATCACAAGCGAATATCTGTCCCTTACAACTCCACCTTTTCTGAAAAGTGGGCGTGAGAACCAGCAAAAATAGATTCCAGGACTCTTAAAGCCGTGATGGCGAACCTATGTCACGCGTGCCACAGGTGGCATGCAGAGCCATATTTTCTGGCATGCCAGTTGTCAACTCTGGCGCGCGCATGATTTTTGGCCTTCTGGAGGGCCGGGGGAGGCCATTTTCGCCCTCCCCAGTCTCTGGAGGCTTTCCTGAAGCCTGGGGAGGGCAAAAAATGGTCCCAACGGGCCAACCGGATGTTCGGAAACAATCCATTTCTGGCTTCCAGAGGGCCTGGGGGGGGGGCAGGAAAGGGCATTTTCTCCCTCCCCAAGCTTCAGGAAAGACTCCTGAGCCTGGGGGTGTTGCACGCATATGCGCAGGTGGCCGGGGAGGATTGGATTGGTGTGGGGACGCGGGCACACACACAATTTTGTCATACCATAAGAAAAAGGCTCGCCATCACTGCTCTAAAGGAATCCTGACGCTGCAAATACATTCCATGCTGCATGGCCAGAACACAATCTGGTAACCATGTTGTAACATGCAGTTAGGGCAAAGAGGCCTAATGCAAATCAAGAACCAAAGTCCCTCTTTCTTTCACTTCATTTTACATCTGGCAGTAGCCAGGAGAAGGATAAGGGAAACACTACGTGAGAAATTGTAATAAAAAGAAGCTGGGATATAACCCATTTGGCATTACTCAGAACCTGCTGCTTTCTCTTTGATACACAACCGTTGAGCAGGGCTGTGAGTTACACTGGATGTAATCCGGTGGTCCTCAGCTTCATCCCCAACCAACACTTATCTGATGACTATGTAACTAAGGTGAGATATGGAACAGCCATTTTCATAACGTGGGGTCCTCCAGCCACATGAAAGACAATCACAGATAATGGCCTGGCCTGAACTGATAGTAAAAAAAATGCTTTAAAAAAGTTTTTTAAAAGTTCCAACGATTGTGCGGCATAGCTGATTGTTGCCCACCTGATTGTCGGATTCTTTTTCAAAGCATTTTTTTTACTTTTTGTTCGGGCAAACCGAAGCCAACTGGCAGCAGACTTCTGAGCATTTCACCCTGCTTTGTACCTTTATGTCCCTGTTCCTTGAGAGTAAATCTCCGTTTCATTAGCCAGGAGAGGTCTAGGTATGGAGCACAGGGATAGGTGAGGTTTCTGACTGCAAAGCTACCCAATAATTAAATCTATAGATCTACCCGTCACACTCATTTAAATGCTTTGCTCTGGACAGCTGAAGCCTTTAAAAGATTTCAAGACTTAATTATGGCTGGAGGGTGGGGGGAAGTATTAATTTCAAAGAACTTTTATCTTCTGGGCAGCAAGCCAAGAAAAGATCTCTCTTCATCAGCAGGCCAATTATCTCAATTCCCTGGCTGATTTTTCCCAACTACGTGAAAAAACTTGCCAAAAGAGGAAAAAAGAAAAGGAAAGAGACCTCCTGATTCACTTCTTCTTCTTCTTCCTCCTCCTCCTCCTCCTCCTCCAATTCATCTGACATCTCCTCCTCCTCCTCTTCTTCTTCCTCCATCACCTCGTTATCCAGTTTGAACAACGCATGCCGCTTCTGGCGTTCTTCCATCCTGCGAAGTTTCATAGCTGCCTGCAGTTTAGCCTTCAACGCCTGCAACTTTTCACCTGGGTAGTCAGGGAGACAGGTAGGTTGGATCCCCACATTAAGGCCTGCGCAACCCACCTCTTTAGCTGATGGCCTCCAGCCATCGTTTCAGCAAAGCGACACGCAACTGAGCTAAAAAGCAATAATGGAGGCATCTGAACAAGGAAAGACATTTCACCAATTGACTGGAAGAGCCCTGGGCTTTATTTTCCAAGGCAGTTAAAACAATCCGTCAACACCTTTTGCTTCAAAGCATCCTCGGTGCTGAGTTGCTCTCTTGGCTTCAGAACAAGACCCAAAGGGTTCTGCATTCTTGGGGACAAGATGATGCAGCTGGAGCATCGCGGGCGGTAAGTACGCATGCACTTGCTGTGCATGTGGTGGACACCGGGCCCCGTTGCAGCATACTGGTTGCAGCGGGATGGGGGAACCCACCACTGATTTACTGCTACCTTGGAAAACCTACTTCTGGTAATGTATAGTATACGATTATTATTTTGGATCCTGCTGAATAAGTTACTGTGCTTTCTGAATGTGATTGCTGCTGCGAACTCCAGCCAGAGTTTGTGGCATTGCAGCCAGATTCAGCACAGCTGATTGACGGGTGGATCGGACTGCCGGAATACCCCCAACCAACTGTTCCAGGCTTGCCAAAGGCCATCTCTGCCTCCATGCCTCACGTTTTTGGCCTCTGGTGGGGAGCTACATTCGGTGCATAAGGCGCATCCAAATTTTCACCCTCTTTTTTGGGGGGGAAGGTCCATCTTAAACTCCGAAAAATACGGTATGTGTACCTTAACGCCAGTTAGTTGTCTTGACTATTCCTATGCTGGTGGTTGTGTTTGCATGACACAGGTGAGCTAGACTTCAAATTTTATAACTTCCTGGACCACAGAGTTGAATTCCAACTCACAGTGAAGGGAATTTGTTTGATTCACAGATCAATCAATGGTAGAGCTTCCTATGTGCTAAGCATCCTGCTTCCAAGAGAATCAACCCTTAAACCTTGAATCGGTGCTCTCCTAAGCATACCTGGCTTAGTCCGGGCAGCATCCTGTACCATCTCTGTAGCCAGCATTACTGGTACTACGTCCGCTTTCAGCTCCTCTTTGCCATCATTCATCACTTCTTTACGAATAATGTTCACGCTCACCATTCGCTGTTCTGTTTTTGGTTTGGCCATGTGAAATGCATGCTTTACAAAGCGTTCTTTCAAAGCTTCCAGTTCTACAAAACCCAAAGAAAATTGCAAAAGGAAATTGACTAGAATCACTTGTACAATAATTATAACCTTTTTTCATTTTTTTACAAAAGCCAATTCAATACTGGATTCACCCATAACTCAATTCTGCAAAGTTATCCACTCAGTTTCTTTATATTTGTTGCAGATAACAGGAAACAAATTTGTCTCTTGAACAAATCATAAAATACCACAGATCTAAAATCAGGACTCAAGATAAAATCAAGATAAAGGATGCTCAAGCATTCTTTTCATTTAAGAGTAATTCTGTTATTTGAATGAGGATACCACAAACAGCATCCTCCACCTACTAATGGTCAAATTTACATTAGCTTCTGCAAATTAGGAACTGCTCCAGTCTATCATAATAGAAAGAAAACTTTTATTTCATTTCCTTCTCTTCTTGCGACTGCTGTGTGCCGTAATGATTACCATGAATATCTATATGCAACAGGTTATTATTTTAAATGTGTAAATAAACTGAAAAAATGGCTTTCATAAAGTGGTTAAATATTTGGAACTATCTTTTTCATAAAATCAGTTTTGGAAGTATTTCTTTTTGGGGTAATTTCTGCAGCTTGATTTTGAAAAAAAAAATCAAATTACCTTGTCTTTTGCTTGACCTCAGGAGGGCAAACAGCAAATATCAGGCAGAGAAGAAGAAGTAAAACCACAACTCATTGATTGGATGGGTATTTATGAGAATTATCTCTCTGCCTTTTTAATCAATGTTTTTTTCTGTTCTTGCTTTTGATTTAAATTGCATATTTAAGTTCCTTGTATTAAAGGAATTTATTACAGGTAGTCCTTGAATTACAAAGAAATTTGGGCTATAATTCCCATTGCTAAGCAATGCAGTCAATATAGCACAAAAATGTTTAGGGTTGTGAATCCTTCAGTCCTGGTTGTTGTCATTAAGGCAATGGCAAAGCCAGCAGGAAATTGCAAGTCCTGGGCAAAGGCAGGTAAGTGGCTGCGGCTGAGGGAGGGCGCTTGAGAGTGGGGCAGAGAAGAAGTGCAGCAAGGGTCAAAGAGTGTGTATGGATAGGGGAGACTTGCCCCATCAACTTGTGGATTCCCCTGCTAGCTTCCCCATTGGCTTTCTGGGGAAGCTGACAGAAAAGGTCACAAATGATAATCACATGATTGTGGGGCGGCTCAACTAATTAAGTACAAGTGGGTTGCCAAGGACCTTGATTGCAATCACATGACCATGGATGATGGGATGGCCAGAACCCCAAGGACTGGCTGCAACCATTAGTTTAGCAATACTGTAATTTTAGTCATTGAAGTTGTGAGTGGAGGAGTCCTTTGGTGCTCTCCGAGCTTGGTTGATTTATTGCAGACGTTTCATTACCTGAACTAGGTAACATCATTAGTGCTAGGAGGGGAGTGTTCAAGGAACCAAGAGCAAACCTCACTCCTTCTAGCACTGATGATGTTACCTAGTTCGGATAACGAAACATCTGCAAGAAAACAACCAAGCTCAGAGAACGCCAAGGACCTCTCATTTCAACCCCGAGCTACAAATATTCTCCTTTATTGGAAGTTGTCAATTGAACAAATGGTTGTAAGTCAAGGACTATCCACCCTGTTTCCCTGAAAATAAGACACACACACACCCCAGATAATAAGCCCAATCGGGCTTTTGAACACATGCACTAAAATAAGCCCCCCCTCAAAAAATATTGCAACAGAGGCAGCCATGAGGTGACCACCTGCATTTCAAAAATAATAAGACCTCCCCGAAAATAAGGCCAAGTGCTTATTTCGGGGGGGGGGGAGAGAAAATAAGACAGGGTCTTATTTTTGGGAAAACACAATATATGTGAGCTGGGAGACTGATTTGACAAATTATGGTATCATCTTTGATAATCAATTACTGCTGCTGCTATAATTCAATACAAAAAAGGCAAAAAATAGCAGATTGTTCAGGAAAAGATGCAACATGAAAGGTCTTTCCTACTCCCCCCCCCCCCAGCAAACCTCTCAGAATAAATTGCACGAGGGGCTTCTACACAAAGAGGCTTAGCAGAGCTCTACACATAGCAGCAATCTGACCAGGCTCAGGGTCACCATACCTCTGTTGGGTTCAGGCTCATCAAGGTCAATAAAGGGCTCTATGCCAGAGCATAGCTTAGGCTTAATACTCAGATCCACCCCCAGCTTCCGAAGCCGATCCAATCGGGACTTTTTAATCTTGTCACCAGGAATTTCCACCAGGGGCTCCAAGTCTTGACCGGGTTCTTGGGGTACCCCAGGCAATTCCAATGATTGCGCCTCTCTTTCTTCAACCATATTTCCCTCCAGTTTCTCCTCTGGTGGTTTGATGGAGTCAGCAGGGACTTCATTAAGCTCTCCTTCTTTCCTGGAACTTAGATCCTCGCTAAATTCTGCTTTGGAACCTTCATTCTGCTTATCTTCTTCCAAGCAATCTCCTTTCAAATGCTCCGTTTCCTCTGCGGAAGAGCTGCCTGCAAAACCTGAATTTGGCTGGTCCAATATTCCTGGCTGAAGAGGCTGTTCTTTCCCATTGCTATGGCAGCTGATACTGGAATTCCCTGTCACGTTATCTTCTTGGAATGAGTTGGGTTGAGTTTTCATTGACCTGTTTATCAAGACACAGGTAAATTAGTAACCTCCTCTTTTCCCTTGAATTCAGTCAATTAGGCTAAAACATATAAAGAACAGTTGCAGGAACTGGATATGTCTAGTTTAATGAAAAGAAAGACTAGAGGAGACATGATAGCAGTGTTCCAATATCTCAGGGGTTGCCACAAAGAAGAGGGAGTCAAACTATTCTCCAAAGCACCTGGGGGTAGAACAAGAAGCAATGGGTGGAAACTAATCAAGGAGAGAAGCAACCTAGACAAAGGAGAAATTTGCTGACAGTGAGAACAGTTAGTGGAACAACTTGCCTCCAGAAGTTGTGAATGCTCCAACATTGGAAATTTTTAAGAAGATGTTGGATAACCATTTGTCTGAAGTGGTGTAGCCACTTCAATATGTACTTAATGAACTCACATACTGTCTGGCTCATTTACATAGTAATACTTATTGTGTTCCTAATTTCTATCTCTTTTATCCAGCCATTGATGAAACAAATCCCAAGCTTGAAAATATTCTGTGTCTTCTTTTTCTTTTATCTTTCAACTCTATTTTAAACTAAACTAAACAGTTGTTCTCTGGAGAGTGTTAATTCAAAGGGTTCAATTTGAAGAAGAATAGATGTGAAAATATATATATGGAAAATAGAA